AGCACTGGCAGCCCCACAACACCAGCCGCCACTTGTTTGTAGAAAATATATAGAAACACAAATGAGTCCACAGGCAACTGAGAAAGGCGGGGAAGATCTAATTTTTAAAGTTACATGTCACATTGTCAATGAAAATTATAGTAAATGAAAATTACATGTAAAATGCTTCAGAATTTTAACTTTTAACTACTGGTCCCTTTGCTTCCTTTTGGCCTATTTAAGGGCATTTTCAGTGTGGGCACAGGTTGTTATTTTCTATTTGTTGTATCTTGTCAGTATTTACTGCTGGAGTGACCCAACTTTTTGCCAAGTAAAACATTAAAGTTTCACCTTTTCATGAAATATTTTATGAATCATTAAAAACTCTATCGTACCATTTTTTCCCTCTTCATCTGTCCCGCTGTTTGTTTTGCTAAAATGAATATACCAACAGAGTTAACCCCTATATGGCAGGGCTGACATGAAGCAGATGGCTGCAGCAGCTATGTGGAAAGGTGTTATCGCAGGCTGACAGTGAAGATCTGCTATTTAAACAGAGTGGCGTGTTGGCACAGGGTAGCGTGCCGACTTCTCAGAGTCTATACACGTGAATCAGACTCTGTGAAGGCCACTGATATAAAATTGAGGATGTCAAATTGTTTAATTCAAGAGCGTAGATTTAAAGCATGACACTTTCTTACCCTTAAGAGCTCTATATAATTTTAAATATTGTAAATCTAAATGGAGAAGAAACCAAACTGGAACTGTTTTGAGAGCATTTCAGCTCAATTCAATTTAAAGTTTCTCTTCCATGATGTGCATGGTGTTGAAAAAGTAATGCTCTTGTAAGGGCAGAGGGAATAGGCCTCCCACTGATCCACTCTTTGCCTCATCATTTACTTTCCCTTCTGCCTGAGATACTCTGTCTTTCACTCCCTCTTTTTATGTTTTGAAGTGCTATTCCTCAGTGTTGTGTGCCTAATTAAAAAGCACTTACAGTTGTTTCTGGTTCAAGGTTGAAACGTTGCTATCTCATCATAGTGAGCTAATCAGATCCCCTTTCAATCACTGCTTCTCCTTAATGAAGTGCTGCTGCAGACCGTCAATGGGACTGCCTGCCTGCCTGCCTGGTGTTTTATTTTATTCCTTTTCGGGGAGGGGGTAAGCTGCTCTATGGAGGAATGGAGAATGCTTGCCATTTTGGAGGGGGTGTGTATGTGTGGGATAGAGTGGGCTGTCAATTTCTGTCAGGCGCTGAGGTGTGTGTGGCAGTGAGTCTATGGCAGGGAGACCGGGGGGGTGGGCGCTAGGCAGGGATTAACATGATCAAAGACACAAATGCAGAGCCACATAGGAAAAGTAAGAGAAAGGGAGAAGAGCCATGCAGGGCTCCCCACAACACAACCCTCCTTCCCTCCCCCCTCCCTCCTCCCCATTTTCCCATAATAACTCCCATGGAAGAGATGAACCGTAACTGAACCGTGGCTTCCCCTGCACTCCACCTCGGCCTCAAACAACTATCGATTTACAGCAACGAAAATGACAAAAACAAACATTGGATTCAGACTGTGCGTGTAGCTGTACGTGGCTTATATCGACATTAGCGTGGATGTATGTACACACCAGGATTCGAGGTTCTAGCAAGCAGGGCACATGTAGAGGGAGACAGACAGGAAATAAACAAACAAGTCGGGTTTAATAGAATTGTACCTGGAGCCCTGAGGACACGAACACACAAGCAGAGCGTATCAGCCGGCATGCTAATACTGCCAAAGGGAAGGCAAAACTAATAGCGGAGACATTAAGAAAATGATCCCCGGGCTGATATGTTTTCTATAGATGGCGACTAAACAGAATTGCCATATTTATCATACTCAGGGAAACAGAGGGAAAGAGAGAGAGGGAGAGGGAGAGGGAAGAGAGAGAGAGAGAGACAGAGAGAAATAGAGAGAGACGCCCATCCACACTCCTGTCCCTCTCAGTTGTCCCCAGGAGAGTGATGAGAGTTGCCCCCGAGAGTGGGTGCAAGTTAGTGTTTCTGTGAGTGTCCATGTGAGTGTGTGTTTAGGTTTGTGTGTGTGTGTTTGTGTCACCCACTACACTCCACTCCCACCCAGCCCATGGTGGGTTACAGTAAAAAGTAGGTAAAAGTCCTCAAAGTAACAATGCCACAATGTAAAAATACATCATTAGAAGTAAATATCCTGCCTTCAGGGCTTTAACCGTTTACCACCAGCTGTTCCGCCCACAGGATGCTAATACGATGTGGGACTTTCATCAAAGTGAATATAAACATGCAGTATATCAATAGATTAGACTTTTGTCACTGTCTTAAAAATAAACCAGGTACAATTCATGGCAGAGTATACAACTGAAACCTTGGAAATATGGTGTCTTCAGCATGTGGGTGTTAGCAAAACGTGCTTAACCCGGCTATAAAGGACTGTTTGGCCATTTGGGACTATTGTAAACACAACACTGACTTGTTATGTTTTAAGTTGATATGGGAAACTAGTTGGCAAACAGTTGCCTATTTAAACATCCTGCAGATATGGAGCAACATTAGCATTCATTTGGAGTTGTGTTTCTGGCCACCTGATGAATGTATTGCCAACATTCACTCCCTTTTTGGATCTAGTTTGACCTCCACTATCTCCTGGGAGAAATATGTGGCTCTGTAGCAGCTAAATATACGACCAGCTAGTCGTTAATTATGTTTGTCTGCTATTTAGTGCTGAGCAGGTAGTGTTTGCTGGATTTTAGGAGCCTCTTTCCTGAAAACAGCTGCCCGCTGCACTAGAAAACTACGCTGAGAGTGGTGAGAGTGAACCAAAACAGTTCAGTTTCAGGCTGGAAAACCAAAACAATGAGCTAAAAGACACTACAAACTCTAGTTTAGCTGAGGGAAACTACAGAGTTGGGGGATAATTGTGTGGGTTTATGACTAGAGTGACCCCTTTCACATATCATAGTCTTGTGAGCTGTCGATAATATATGAATATTGATTATAGCTGCTTTAAAGTATCAAAAATAAAAGTAATCATTATGCAGAATCACTTTTCTGAATGACGTATGCGTATAATCTTCTTTGATTATTGTTACTCATGCATTAAAGAGTAAACAGCATTTTAATGTCAGTGTAGAGGAGCTAACTATTTTACATACTTCTGGATAGTTTAATCTAAAGCACTATATCATATTTGATAAGATGTGTTCCATGAAAAATCATTTTTCTTTCTTTTTTTTTTGTTAAACTCTAAATGTTACTTAATACTTTAATGCGTTACTTCCACCCTTGCTCCCACTTCTTTACCCTCATCTTTCCATCCGAGCTCATCCCTCCTCCCCCCTGCCCTTTTCCGGCTCTCCAATTAAGCTTCAGCAGCAGGTTTCCATCAGCCGTCTGGTCGTCTGCAGCAGGACTCTTCGGAGCAGAGGCCTGTCAGGAAATGAACTCATCACTGGGTGACAGCTGCTAATTTCTCTCTCTTCCATGTCACACGAGTGGCCTGCTGCAGTTAATAATGAGCCTTCCAGCCCTGATTAGGGACATACACGGGGAGGGTGGAGATGCACACAATACAGTACACAATCACTCAGCCAGACGGGCAGAATAATGTGCGAGCACGAGCGCAGACAGACATTCCTGTTGAGAACAAAAACACCAACACACACAGTGAACTGGGAGATGTTAGTGACCCAGTTTAGCTCAGGTCACTCACTTTGACTCATCTCATCTGCTACTTTCTTTTAAAATGTGTAGCTGTTTTATGCAGTGGTTCCCTACCCAGGGTCAGGAACCCTCTGAGAGGTTATAAAATAAATCTGAGGGGCCCTAAGACTTTTATCAGGATAGAAAAGAACAAAAACAATAGACCTTTTTCACAGCAGCCATTTTGACATAGTAGGGTAATCACAGGTGGTACCAATAATAATAATTAAGGTTCTGTTCCAT